TTAAACTAACGATTTCATATTTAATTCATTTCGGTTATTTGGATTCAAACAAGGTCAATCCAATCCCATTCGAACGTCCGAATTTTCAAAAAAAATTCAAACCGATTCAATCCGATCCGATTCGATCCGATTCGATTTAAAGTTTGGATTTTTGATTTGATCTAAAGTTCTGCTATAGTGAAGAATCGAACATAAATCACTTGTTTACAATAGGAAAGCATTGACTAACCAAGTCATGGGGTATCAACACGTGCACTTATAAATATTAAATTTATATATGTTATCCATTACTTAGTAAGTTTCAATTTATTAAATTGAGTTTGAAATCATACATGTATATATTAAATTTATCATATTAAAAAACATCCACTAAAATGAACTATTTATATAAGTTATTTGGGAATTAATATAATCGTTTTTGTATGTTTCGCATCATATCCATCAACATAGGTTACATATATTGTAAGTTGGGTATTAAATGAAGTGGTTATCTTTTAAAATTTCTTAAATTTGAAAAATTGTTACTTAAAAAATTCTTTTTTTTTAGAAAAATAAAATACTTATTTAAGAGCACTTTGTAGATTTGATTTACTAAAAAATAAAAATTAAAGATTATTTATAGGTTCTTTTTTATTATATATAAAGAGTTACACATAAAAGTATAACTTTATTCCCTTAAAAGAAATTTTAAAAAAAATCTGACTTTGTTATTTTGTTATATTAAAAACAAATATGATTACGTAAAATTGGAAAGTTATCAAACCAATGTACTGTCATAGAGTTCGAACAAATATATTTGTTAATTTCGATTTTTGTAAAACATAAATGATTCGTTCATTTCTTTTGTTAGTTATGATTCTATAAAACCAAAAATGATTACTTAACATTTAAAATTTTACTGAAAATAAAATGAGGGAAGATTTTCGCTAAACTCCCATTCAATGAACTCTTAATGGTGGTAAAATTTCATGTGGCACTGACATTTAGCTTTGGAAATAGTAATTAGGAGAGAAAAAGTAATTTCCCTTTTCACCATTAGCGCATACTTAAAGTTTCTTCATCTCCTTCAATATAATAAAATATGATATATTCATTCGTCTACTGATACTAAACATATTCAGTGAATACTTTTATTAGTAACTTGATACCTAGAAATATAATTTAAAAACAAGTCTATGGCACCACTTGACTCTGCATCTTGTTTCATTCAATATCGACTATATACATTAAAAATATAAATAAAATGAATGTATTGAATATTTGATCTCATGACCATTATAGTTTATAAGACTAACAATGCAAAATTTATTATATTGTTATTTTAAAAACTAATATACTTGACTAGTATAAATATTTAATAATTCTTATTATAAGTAATATTAAAATAAGTCACGGTGGACTAAAAGTAAACTAGGAATAGCTGAAATAAAATTGAAAATTATACCAATGAAATTAATTAGGGCTCTATTGTCATAAAAATATTTAGATAATAAAATACAAAGTCTATTGTACGCACACTTTATTGTAAAGGAAGAAACAAAAGTTAAAATGGTAAGAGATATTAACATGAATTCATCATTATAAATACTCCGCATATAAGTCAAGAAGGGGTAAAAATATAACATTAGTGAAGGGCTAAAAAGAATTGAAAAATGATGCTACTAAAATAAGAATTAATTTTCAAATTATAGCCTAGAATATATACGAGAAATTAAAATATGATTTGATATTAATAAATGTGTTAGGATCCTGAATTCATTTTTCAATCTTAAATATATTAATCAAAGTGAGATATTTTGATAGAGGTCAAATTTAAAATTATTTCAATTGCACACCGTCATTCACTAAGGGCTTGTTCTCGTCAGCTGATAAAAATAAGTTTTAGGTCTAATAAGTTAGATCAGTTATAATAAGGTCCAATAATAAGTTAAATAAGGTTTAATAAGTTACATTAAGTTAAATAAGGTCTAATAAATTTCAATAAGTTCTAATCAAGTCTAATAATAAGGTCTAATTAGTAGGGGTGTCCATTCGGTTTTTGGTTTGAATTTATCCCAAATCCAATCCAATCCGAAATAATTTTAATTTTCAATTATAAAATCCAACCCGGTCTGAATTCCTCACCAAATCCACTCTAATTCAAACCGATTTAAAATTCGGTTATTTGGATTCGATATGAGAGTGCAAATTAAAATACGTTTCAAATATTTTGGGCCTAATGCGAAAATAAAAATTAAAATACCATAATAAAAAAATTACTTCTTAAAAGTATAGTTGTACACGATTAATAAAAGTATTGAAAACGTAAGTAGGTTACATGATAAATAGTAATAATTATAATAATAGTTTAGCATGATTATATTAACAATACTTATTCATAAACTAACGATTTCATATTTAATTTATTTCGGTTTTTTTTGGATTCAAACAAGGTCAATACAATCCAATTCGAACCTCGAATTTTCAAAAAAATTCAATCCAATCCAATTCGATTTAAAGTTCGGATCCGATCCGAATTAATAATTCAGTTTTGATTTGATTAAATTTCGAATTTTAATCCGAATGATGGATACTTGTACTAATAAGGTCCAATAAGGAACAATAAGTTCAAATTAGTTTAGTAAGGTCTGATAAGTTCAATAAGGTATAATAAGTTTGATAAGGTGTTACAAAGTTCCAATAAGTTTCAGACTTTGAAATACGGTGTAAGTTTTGATTTTACAAATACAAATATGATTCCTTTAAAATTAATATTAATTATTTTTGAGTTTTTAAATACCAAAATGATACTTAAAATGAAAATTTATAAAAAAAAATAAAAGATCAAAACGTGTTTCTTTATACCTCCATAAGATTTGAACACAGGACGACTATCCATAGTCATTCAAGGGGTTTGTTTATTACTAGACTAAGGGGTATCAGCACATACATTGGATGAAAACAAATTAATTTTTATAGTGTATCTATTAGACTAAATTTCCTGGCTTATGCCCATAAATAATTGATTGGACACATTATACAAATAATTTACGTGCAAAACATTTAAAATAAAAAGAGTTTTTTGATTTTTTTTTTCACTTTGAAATATGGTGTATGTTTTGACTTTATATATACAAATATGATTTCCTTAATATTATATTAATAACAATTATTTATGATTTTTTAAATACAAAAATGATACTTAAAATGAAAATTTATAAAATATAAAAAGCAAAATGTGTTTCTTTTGTACCTCCACAAGATTCGAACACAAGATGACTATCCATCATAACTCAAGGGGTTTGTTTATTAGACCATTGGAAAATATTTTATTTTAGAAAAAAAAATAGTTATTAAAGATTAGTTATACATCTAAAAGTATATCTTTGTTCCCTTCAAAGAAATAAAAAAATTATGTTTTGTTAACAACAAGGTGTTCTCCATCTTTGTACTTCAACTTAGGATAATATACAAGCCTCCCACCATGCCAGATTGTACACCTTATGGAATTTGAACATGCCATTCTGATCTTTAAAATGCATGTACTAAAAATGGATCTAAGAAAGAGAAAAAAATGTGTAAAAGGGAAAAAAAGGGCAAAGTGGATTGGGAGGTGATGGCGGTTGGAAGTCTGGTCCACATATTCCACAACACATACCATTAGTTTTATTAATTCATTTCAAACTATAGTGTGTACTAGCATTTTAAACATGTTGTACGGAGATCTCATAGTGACACGTTTATCAAACAAGATTTTATTAAAAGAAGAATGATTCTTTAAAATAAAAAATGTTTTTAGGGGACAAAAAAAAAGATGATTTTATCATGGTTGCAAGGTTCGAACACTGAATGCATTTGAATAATACAACATTTTGATAATATCAACACCATAGGACTAGGGGGGTATCAGCACATTCACTGGATTACATATTAATATGTATTATTAGTTGAATAGGTTCTCTTTTTATGTTTATCAAAAGAGTGAAAATTTTAACTTAATAACATACTTTTTGTTTTAAATAAAATAGTTTTTTTTTTTAAAATACTAATAAAATAGTTATTAAATATAAATAATTTATATCTAAACGTATAACCTTGTTTCCTTCACTAACATCAAATAATTAAAAACTAAATAAAAGATATACGTATAACATTGTTTCATTCACTAACTTTTATGTTATTCTGATATTTTAAAATTAGATATGATTCTGTAAAGTTAAAAATAATTAAAAACCGGAAAAAAATACAATTTATACCGTCACAGTGTTTGAACAGTGGTTTGATGTATGCACATGCAGCTTTCAAAGTTAACCATTGGACTAAGGGGTATCAGCATGTTCATTATGTGGGAAAAAAAAACTATATATTACAATGTTTGTATGAGCGTCCCAACAAATCGTTTTCTTGGAGTCGATTCAAATTTCGGATCGTTTGTTTTGGGTGAATTATAAAACATAATCTTTAACCAATTTTGCAGCTAATAATTCTAAATCTGTTTTTGTTTTTCACACCTTCACCATACTTTCATTCAAATTAGTTTATTCTTCAAATATATAATCACTACAATTCATTTTAATAATTGTAAACCACACCACAACGGGCCGGAATATACATGAACATTACAAAAAATTCACCGACGCCGATAGGTTGTTCACCGACAACACATTCACCCACGACGTTCGCATTTTAACCAACACCTTATCGCACCGCCATCAATCTGTTTCATGCTGAAATTCAAAAAATCAGATTTGTATATTGTTCTTCATTTGTTATTTACACAGATACATTAGAGGGGAAACATTAGGAGAGAGAATTTAGAAAAAACGACATATGCATCCCATAAGAATCCTAAAAATTGAAATGTTAAGTTAAATCAAATATTTTATTTACATTTTATTCATTGTTCTTCATTCGTTATTTACACAGATACATTAGAGGGGAAACATTAGGAGAGAGAAAAAAAAATGAGGTCAAAAAATCTGATTTTTTTTTGGGATTATATACTACATTAATTTGGGTAGGTGAAAGGATAGATAAATTTGAAATTCACAAGTTGAAATTTAAAAAACAAGTTTGAAATTCAAATGAAAATAAAAGTGACCCATAAAAATGGAATATTCTCAATCAACCAATAGAAAACTTGTGTACAGGATTCCTTTTGTACACTAAGTGTACCTTAAATTGCTCCTATATAATTCATAATATTCATAATGACATGTAATTTAAAATTGCTTGAAATGTTGGAAAAATGTTTTACGGAGTAGTCAATCATTTGTGATCGTTTATTGAAAATCAAGCTCTATTTTTTCTTTTCTTTCTCCTCCTTTTTTCTAGCAAAATTTTTCTTACTGTTGTGCGCTGCGACTTGTCGGAAACCACCGCATCCGACGATCTTCCAGCGAGGTGGCCGTCAAATTTCTTTGGATTCTAGCTTTCGGCGGCGGAGCTTTGAAGGTAAATTAATTTAATTTTACAATTTTATGTCAAATATGTGGTTCAAGCTGGCTTCATCATACCCTTTTGTTCTTCACGCCTGTGCTGTAATTGGGGATTTGAGATTTGGGACATAGATTCATGGGTCGATGTTAAAAATAGGGTTTGAAGGATACTTAAATGTATGGTTGTTGGGAGAGAGGAACTGTTGGTGCACGTAAGGTGTTCGATGAAATGCCTAAGAGAAAAACTTCTATATGCTAATATACTATCACTAGAACAGTAATTAATGTGGAGAGCGTGATTAAGGGTTTTGAAATTCTGGTGCAAAATAATTAAATTACTTATTAGAAAGATGTAATTAGAAAGAAAAATAAAAAAATAAAAAAATAAATGAAATTTGAGTAGTGCATTACAAATTGAAGATTGTAATCTGGGAATTATTTATTTTTGTTGGAAATAACTTTGTTTGATTATCATAGGCTTTTATTCAAATTTTTGTGTTTTTAAAAATCAGCTTCACTGAATGTTGTTCTTGGTCCAAAAAAGATTATCATTTTAAAATGTTGCTGGGAAGGAGCAGGTAACCATTACAAAGATATGAGGCAAGCTGTATAGTGAGAGGTTGTGATTTATGAATTGATGGGGCGATTCGATGGATAAAGTAGTAGTTGTTGATTTTAAGAGAGTTTTGGTAACTGTGAAGGAGAGTTTGATGGAGGGATTTGAATCTAAAATTTGAACAATGTTGAGATGATAGGGTAATTTGCGATCTACCAAATGTTGAGAAGGGTCTGTTCTATTACTTTCTAGTTAAGTAGTCAATATTGTTGTGTTTCTGCCAATGTTTTATTTGTGCTCATTAGGGAATGATTGCATTTTGCTTCCTCATAGTTGTAATTACTTTGTATGCCTTGACTGATAACTAATAAGCTGTAGTAATGAGGTTGGTCAGTTAGAATATCATAGATTAGTTCAAGGATAGATGTAAATTCTGGCTCCAGGCAGATTAGGATATCTGTATTTAGCTTGTCTTGAATCTCTTATGTCCTTTGTAGGGTCATTCTTTTTTTTGTTGGAGCATCTCAAAATCAGAGTAGCAGCACGGCATCATAATTTATGAAAGCATTTTATGACCTAGTGTCCAAAAAGTTGGAACCAAGGTAATTGTAGGTTATATCTGTAATGGCTATATCCCAACTGAGAAACTCTAGTCTTCCATTGATGAATCTAGTAAGAATGAATAGAGTACCTATACTACAGCAGCTACATCTTGAAGAAAAGCTGCTTCGTACTTCATCAGACAATTGGTGTGTCATTAATGATGGAACACCTGATCCTACAGTTGTCATGGGAATATCGGGGTAAGTAGTTCTTTTCCCTGGTGCCAGAATTCTCTAAGCATAAGAAGTAGCTTTGCATTTTAGCTTTATTACAGTTCATGTGAGTGCATTAGGATTACCCAAGGCATGGTAAGCTGAATATTATTGCATTCTCTTGTCTTAATAAGTGGCATGCATTTTAGTTCATAAATTATGTCAATCTACATACTTGTACCTCTCTACTTTGTTTGGCAATGAGACGCAAGAGAAATGAGCCTGTTTGATTTTAATACCATTCCAAGATTGACCAAGAAAATATTGACCAGCTTTGGCATTGGAGTAGCTCTGAGCTTTAGTTATTGCTTCCTGAATTTACAAATGAATCATCTAGGTGTTATATATACTCTGCTGCTATATCTGTAGCGCCGTAGTTGAGTTTGATGGCAGGGAACTTCACATATACTGTAATACCTAATAAACTTTGGCAAGTAATTTACTCTAGGTTTGCAAGGTTCCTGGAAGATGTGATCTGCATGTGCTTCAAAAATTAGCATGATTTCTGGAGTTATCCTACCTGACATCGTAATTTGATGAGGTCTTTGTTTTTGTCATGCTATCAGCAAGCCTGCGGAACTTCTTGATGTTAAATCCGTGCTGCGAGATAAGATTTCTGTCATCAAACGATTCACTGGGGGAGGTACTGTTATTGTTGATCATGGGACAATCTTTGTTTCATTCATATGCAATAAAGAGGCTGTTCCTGGTTTGCAAGCATATCCTCAGCCAATAATGGCGTGGAGTAGTCTATTGTATGATGAAGTTTTTCAGGGAGCTGAGGACTATAAGCTACGTGAAAATGGTAATTGATTACATATTTTTTAGATCTTCTATTGTTGTTTTGCATAAGATGCCTCCCTAAATGTTTTCTTGGTGACTAACATTTCTGAATCCTTCAAATGATTCAATTATGGAGTTCTCCCTCTGGTTTCTGATGTAAGACACCCACTTTTTTGTAGTTTTTTTTCCCCTCAAATTTGTAAAATGTTTTTACTATGAAAGTTTTTTTTAGACATCATTCCAAGGGCATAAATTTTATTAATACATTTAGCAAAATTTGCAGTAGAAGGATTATATTTAAAAGTCTGATGATGTGTATTTAGAAACACAACGAGCTTTATGTATGTTTAAATATACATTCTCTTGTTTTTTTGGTGCATGACTTTTACATGAGTCTTTTCTTCACCTTGGCTTCTGTTCCGTGATGAATGGATTTTAGGACTTTTGCTGCATGCTGAGCTGATTTTATGACATCAATTAGTTTTGCTTCTTCCACAGATTACGTGTTTGGAAGCCGAAAATTTGGAGGCAATGCTCAATCCATCACTAAAAATAGGTGGATCCATCACACATCGTTTTTGTGGGACTATGAAGATGCAAATATGACGTACTTGAAAATACCTCAGCGAGCACCAAAGTATAGGCAGGTTTGTAACTTGTGTTGCTTATTTTCTAATTAAATTTTTATGCAATAAGGGCCTTGGAGCTTGATGAACCTTCACAGTTTTTAGTACCTATAGAATAGAACCACCATAGAGTTATAGATACTATACAAGTATAAAGTATCAGGCAGCTGCTTGCGCTCTATAATAACATCTCTCTCATGTTCAGGCAAGGGACCATTCAGAATTTATATGCCGCATGAAGGATGTTTTACCGAGATCAGAATTTATCCATCGTACAATCAAGGCAGCTGAAACCCATTTTTCGTTGACATCCATTCCATTGGATCAAATTGAATCGCTTGATAATACAAAGTTTAGTCCGTCTTCCAAGATTCTAACAACAGAGGAACTGGAGGCTACAATCCAAAAGGAAGATGACAGTTTATTGTCCCAGTCATTGTGAGGATTTGTTCTTTTGATGAGCAAGCCAAGAATACTTTTTTCTTTATGGAATTATTATGTTCATTACATCATAATTCATCAATTTAATTGTATAGAAACTTTTATACTTTGAACTAACCAATTTTTGATTCACCACGAAAAAGCACAGCTAAAAAGTGGTTATTGTTGAATTAATAAATTTTGGTAATAATTGACGTTATGATCTCTAATTATTCTCTATACTAGTTGAACATGACGTCTGAAGAACAAGTTATTTTTGAATTTTATTTGTTTTATGGCTGACGAAGTATATTTGACGTTCTATTGTCGAAGCACTACGAGGTCAAACAATAACTACACCGAGTAATATCTTAATTCAATTTTTAATGTTCTAATAAGTTTACATCATTTCCACGAATTGAACACATTCCACAAAATAATTAGTATGATATCCTTTAATAAACTAAAAAATAATTACAAATAAAAACAATTACAGTAGTATGATGTTGTAGTTGTATGTTTCATTTGCATAAAAATTCCTTAAAACTTACACATGCTAAAAATTACACTTATTATATACAGAAGTTTTAAAATCTCAACTAAAAAGCATAATTACACTTATTTGGAAGCACATGCTCAAAATAAGTTTACTCATTGAAAAAAAGCCGCTGTCCATGGCTCTATTCAATTGTAAATTTTTATTTTTATTCTTTGACCATCAATTTCCAATATAATAAAAGAGAGATCAAATACAAAATCAAACACATTAAAATAGACTAATCAAACACGATATGATATCAAGACTAATCAAACACGATCTAATATCAAGACTAATCAAACACACAAAAGATATGATATGATATCGAATCACATTATATATATACTTTTTATACTACCTCCGTTACATATTATCATATTATGTACAACTTTTACGGATTATTTATGAATTATGATGGATTGATGGAGGTAGTATTAACAAAATTAACTCTTTAATTTCAGGAATCATGCGAACTTTTGAAAAATAAAACCCTAATCAATTTGATAACCCTTCAAATTAAAACTTGTGTATACATCAAACATATCAAAAATTAAATTTTTGACATTAAATCTTTAACCTATTTTCGAGCTCGAGTATTCAAATCATCAACGCAATTATTTTTACTTTTGCCATCAAGTTCTTTACCAATATGATAACTAACAAAGGCATCAATACAAGCATACATAACTTGACTTTGATCAAGCACTTCTTTATTCCACTTACTCATTGTAATCTCCTTAACCTTGACCATCTCCCACCCCAACACCGCGTTCGCCACCTCTTTAAGCCCCGCATTCACTCTCACCTTCCCCGCCTCGGCCGCAACCTTACTCACATCCACCATACTCGACAACCGCAGATCATAATCCTTTAACAGCCTTTGAGAGTCACCTGAGATTCCGACACCTGAGAACCTGCATTGTGGATCTCCTAGGAAATCCTCCAGGGACGAAGGGATCGAAGGCGAGTGGAGGAGCTGGTAGATGAGGCAGTTTGGACCTACACATAGTTGTAGGGTTGCTATTGGGTTTAGCCACTCGGTGTCTAGGCCGATTATGGTTGGATGATGGTTGGATCGGATGTGGGTGATCCATGACGTTACTACGTCTGGACATCGTGTCACGATGGTTCGAACCCGATGGTTGAAACACGTCACGTCGTAGACTGTGTAGGTGTTTGTTTGATGGTGGCTAACTATTGTTGGTGAGGCTGCCATAGATTTCGCTAATTAAGGTTTTTTTTTTCAGAATTTTTTTTTTTTTTTTTTTTTGGAGAAAAAACAGAATATATATAGTAGGTTTATATTAAGAGATCAGTGCATGTTTTGCTAGGTGTTTGATGGCATGTATCCGGCCAAGCCAGAGAATGATAGAATAATGGCATTTTATTTTGTGGAGGACTCAGCATAGCATGACTAAAGTTTGGGGGCTATCGATTTCGATGATAATAAATACCGTTTAAATAGGAAGAACTTTAAACAACACGGAAAGTATGTATTATGTTAAATTTACATTAATTCTCAGCATATTTGGGCACGTAGAATAGTTTCCTAATCAAATACGATGACTTTCTAAAATATAATCACTTGAAATATAGAATAAAAAAAATATATCATATTAATTACGATATTATCTTAACAAATATCGGATATTATCTTTCTTCATTATGTTGATTCGATAACTTAATCACACAATTGATTTATTATGTAAGAGTATTATTATACATTCGAGTGTATCTACCGTCTATTTTGCTTTAGGTACATCAAACCCACGAATGAGCAATAACAATGCTAACCCACTCATTATAAAAAAACAAGGTTCTTAAAATGTTAAAAATGGAGCATGACTAGGTGTAGCTAAAAGTTTGCATTAATCTTTGTCTTTTCTTATGTGTTTAAATAACAAATATCTTATTCTTTCGGTGCACTGAATTAAAACAATTCACAAATAAACATCACTGGTTTGTCAGTTGATATATTCTCTACCTTAATATTAGTATAAATAGTGAATGTCTAGGACAATGGAGTTGTTAGTCTTATTGTAATGTTCTCTAATGTTTGTTTAGCAGGATAAATAGATGTGATTACATTAAATTTTATGTTGTTAAAAAGTTTAAAATTGAAAACTAACTAAAGTAATTTATTTTTAAATTTGACCTTGTATTATCTTAATATCTGTATATGTTACCATGAGTGATGAGTCCTGAGTAGGGGTGTACATAAACAGGACCGGACCTGAAAACCGACCTGATCCGGACCTGTTGGGACCGGACCTGACCCGGACCTGTTGGGACCGGACCTGACCCGGACCTGTAGATTCAGGTCCGGTCCCGGTCTTTAAAATTCAAGGTTCCCGGTCCCGGTCCGGATCAGGTCCAAATCCGGGGTTTTCAGGTCTGGACCTGAAACCCGGTAAAAATGTATTTTAAAAAAAAAAAACTTTTTTTTCCCAAATATCAAAACAAGAAGTCAGTTCATTTATAACCCTAACTTAATCACTCACTCCCTAACCCACTCAGCCGACACAAGTCACACAACACACTTACAAACCCACTCCCTCACGCTGCACACTCCTCTAGCGACCACTGGATCGCGCGACTCTAGCAACCCCAACCACTAGAACGTGCGACTCTAGCAACCGCAACCACCACATTGCGCGACTCCAGCAACCAAAGCCACCAAAACACGCGACTCTAGCGACCGCAACCACCAGATCGCGCGACTCCAGCGACTGCAGCCACCAGAACGCGCGACACTAGAGGCCGCAACCACCAGATCGCGCGATTCCAGCGAACGCAGCCACCAGAACGCGCGACTCCGGCGACCGCATCCACCAGATCGCGCGACTCCAGCGACTGCAGCCACCCAATCATACACCAATCGCCCTCTTACTAGCTTCACGATCTACCCCGACCTTCCTTTGCGACCATCTACTTTGAAGGTGGTAGATCTGGTGGTTGTTGTTGTCTAGTATTTTTGGTGTTTGGGAATTGGGACTTTAGTCAATTTATACAATTTATGTAGTATTCATGATTGATAATATCAGATTTTATGTTATTATTTATTTTATTTTTTAAATAAAAAATCAAAAAATAAATAAAAAAACAGGTCTATTCAGGTCCGAACCCGGACCGGACCTGATTTTTCAGGTCTAACCCGGAACCGGACCTGTTGAATCAGGTCCGGTCTCCGGTCCTCAAAATTCCCTGATTCAGGTCCCGGTCCCAACAGGTCCGGTCCGGTTTTGGACCGGTGTACAGCCCTAGTCCTGAGTCCATGATTGCAAGATAATGATACCCAAATAAAAAAAAATAAAAAAAAAAAAAAAAAAATGTTATAGTTAGGCCCTGTTCCATGATTATTATTAATCATATAATCAATTACCTATAATAACCTAATAAGGTAAGTTTATGTGAATAAAACATACACTAAGTTTAGGAAAGAAGTAGTTAAAATAAGAATATACATATATACCTTAATATAGTACAAGGAGATTGGTAAGAATATACATATTATAAAATACAGTAATACATAAGTAAAGTAGGACTTTATATCAAAAAATAAAATAATATTAAGATAGAATAACTAAGCTGAATTAAACTGAACTGTTTATGAAAGAAGAAAATTAGAAAATAAACTGAACTGAACTAAAGCTGAAGAGTACAGGTCCTAACAGTTGATTAAAAATTGAGCAGGTATATAAAACATAAATCAAATCATTTATAAATATAATTAAATGAATGCCATTCTATATGAATTCCATGAGTGCATAAATGAATAATTATTTGAAAGAAAAACAGAACAACTGAACAAGTAATAGAAAATTAGAAAATGTTCAAAAAGGTGGTCCAATAAAAAGATTTAATTATTTAAATCGTTACAATCATTACGTATTCGATCATGCACGTAATTTTTTATTTTTATTTGCATCTAAGGAAATTAGGTCTCTGTCTAAAAAAGGAAATTAGGTCACTTTTGCATTATTTAAGTAAGAAACCATAATTATCATTACTAAACTATTAACATGAAGACGGTTTGGCCGAGTAGTCTAAGGCGCCAGATTTAGGCTCTGGTCCGAAATGGCGTGGGTTCAAATCCCACAGCCGTCACATTTTTAATAAATCAATATGTTCAATTACATTAATTTAATCTTGTGTAATTTTAAAATCAAATTTTAAATAATGATGTTATAATTCTTATTAGATGATAATTTTTTTGGTGTTTAGAGAGCCACAAGGATGGAGTGAGAATCGATTCTAACCTACTAGAATAAGGAAGGAAGCTCTAACCATTTTAGCTATCCCTCACTCTCAGATAATAATATACTACCTCCGTTACAAGTTATGTGCAACGATTAGACATTTTCCCTCTTTGGTTTATGTCAAATCGTTGCACATAACCTGTAACGGAGGTAGTATATTGGTAGGACCGTAGGAGTATCAATGCTTTAATGAAGTAGTTCTCTCCCACTAATCTATATAATTTGGGAAGCACGTTACATAACAATATGAACAATTATAATTAATTATGGACATCTTCTGTTGGAAATAGGTAATGCAAACGGATGCTCGCGCCCGATCGGGCGGAGGTGACCAAGGAAAATAGGAGAACTCTCGCGCCCGATCGGGCGGTCCTCGCCCGACCGGGCGGCGGACTCAAGTTTTTGACGAGCCCGATCGGGTGGCTTCGCCCGATGGCTTGCCCGGGATGGGGTTTCTAGATCGCCCGACTGGGCGCCCGACCGGGCGGTGTTCGCCCGATCGGGCGCGACACCAGGTCTGGAGAAACTTAATCTCGCGCCCGATCGGGCCCGCTTTTTTTCCTAGGTCGGTTTGCTTTGCGTGTTTCAATTCCTTTTCCGGGACTCATATAAATACGAATCTTGCCTTTTCATGATTTTCATTTTTCACTTTCTAGCCGAAAACACAAACCTACCTTTGAGATCTGAACAGTTCTTGAGCAATTCCACTCTTCGGGTTCGGGTGCACGAATTACGGGGAGAGTTGCGTTAAACTTGGGGGGCGTGCGTCATCAGGAAACCTGTACCGGTGGTGGCGTATTTTGTTTCTAAGGTAGTGGATTATTGTTCCACGGCGCGACTGTGAGTTTGAGATCTTCAATCAAGTATTTTCCCTTTCTTCTTCTCTATTTTTTGTTATTGGAATCGACAGGTATTTTTACCAACAATTTAGAAGCAAAATAATATTAATTTATTATACTGTTGATTCCTGGATTATTCAATTATATAAATCGTTTGATCGGGATGGAAATTAAAATTTTGTTCGGGATCGTCGTATGAAATTCATCCGTATTATTTGCAGTTCAAGAACCCTAATTTTTGGGGGAATTTTTTATCCGTCAGTGTGCAATATCTGTGTACATTGTTGGAAGGATGAATTGAGTAAAGTGTGTTTGATCATTGCTTAACTGCATCCTTCTTTATTTAATTTGTGGCTCCTAGTGGACATCATGTCAGCAAGGTTAAGGAAAGTTAATTCCTTACCTTTTTGTTTGTCAAATATGGTTTCATATTGAACCATGTTATTTAAAGAATTTAGAGAAAAGAAAACCTGAAATTTCCATTGAAGAATGTCGGTGGAAGCAGTGCAATTCAGAAGTCTTTAATTTGAAATATTAATTAAAGTGGTAGATTATCAAAAGGTTGCTCCTTCTCTAGTGAAGACTCCAACAGGATTTGCAAGTAATGCAATCGGTTATGGAGTGCGAGGATCGATGGGCAGCAATGGTGTCAACTGTCGAGTTATAACTCAATAAAATCTGTCTAGCGAGTGAGCCGAGATATGCAATAATAGTTGGTCAGACCATTGCTCGTAATCAGATAAGTTATCCTTCTCAATTTATTTAAGTAATTTCTAACTCTACATAATATTTGTGTCTATTATTATGTGCCCCTGTTATATATGCATAATTTAATTATTATGAGTTATTGTTTAGCAATGTGGGGGTGTTTTGAGATAGATTTTTGTGACTAACTAGTAAGTTAGTTTGTACTCTTGTTGATGAGTGGTATTGAGGAGGAAGGTCTCCAAAAGTGTCGTTTATCTATAGCTTTTGGCTTGTTGTTTGCAAGTAATTTATTTCTGCTAATGTATGTTTCATCTAATGATAATTTATTTATGTTCATGGACTTTAATGTGTTTTGTCCTAATAGATTAGGGATGACATGTGTTCTATCTTATGATAGTGTTTTTATTGTTATTTTTCCTAATCATGGACAATGTTTTGTTGAGCACGGAGTATGTGATAAGCTTGTAAGTGTCTCGTTTTTGAGATTAAAAAGGGATTTAGAATTATTGTTTCTTTTAATTCTTGTGATCTTAATCAGCTTTGTTCACGAACTTGAAATGTATTTAATTGGCTAGAGGTGTAGCAATTATTTTTCTTGTTGATGGTCTAGATGAGACCGGGTTGATTTCCGTGCTTATTAGCAGAATAAAAAGGCTTGACTTAACAAAGCTAGAATGGTCGTGCAAGTTTGAAGTGTAAGTGCCCCACATGAGGTAAGGATGAGAATTAACATTCTATATGTCTTTAAACACTATTAATATTATGTGAATATTAGTATTGTGGGGGTTGCAGATATGTATCAGTTGTTTATTTGTTTAGTAAGTATTTCACCCAAGAATTTGGTTTATACTCCCTAATTTGTTACCTAATTCATGATTATTTTCATGTGGTATCTGTGATGTGGGGGTTTCCAATAATAAAGAATTGACTTCTAGATATGTTTCACATAAAGCATGAGGGCTTGTGGGAATGTGGGTGATATGTATGCTGAATATGTGCTACGTTTATCATGTACGAGCTTGATATGTTAAATCCTTGAATTTTCTCAAGTTTATGTTTTCCTATGACATGACGTGTTAGTTTTTCTCGTACATAGGATTTGTTCTTGCTTCCTAAGCTTTATCCTGCCAGTAAAGTTGATGAGTTCATCATCTAAGGTGTATTAGATTAAAGCTTAAACTAGTTATGTATCATCTTGGGTTTTACTTTCTTGATCGAAAGTTGTATGTAGATGGTTTGTTGTGTGGTATATATATTCATGTAGTGATGGATGAAACTTCCTGAACTATATGAATACACCTTGATTAACTAGTTGTTGAAAGAAGCATGTTAATACTAGTGTTCGCTCCTTTGAGTCTTATATGCTTGAGAATAGTATATCTTGCCTTTCTATTAGAAATCCATCTGTTGTAAGTATCTTTCAAGGTGAGTTGAAAGGTGGTTTATTGGAAATGGGCTAAAGGTAAGATACTATGTTGTTAGGATTTATTCTGTAAGTTTGGTGCTGACCATCTCTTATGACTCACCTGGTTTGTTCTAAGCTTGTCTGATTTGCAGTAAGGTTGCTTAAGCTTCCTAGCATGATTGATTGTAAATCAAGGGTGTGTATTTTAAAATGCATGCACAGGTGACAACTTAGAAGATGAGGTATTTTTTGCTCATGATCTTATATCCTTTGTGATATGTATGGTGAGTGGGGGGTTAGATTTGAGTACTCTAACTTGTTATGTTAAATTTTTCTTGGCATGTGAGTTGAACTTCTTGATGCATGTGATGTTACTATGGTTCGCATTGATGGAGTTCATTTTCTATAATGATCATAAGTTGTTAACTTCACATGCATGTTGTTAATTGAGATAAAGATGTATATGTGTCTCTAAGCCAAGAAACAAGTACAAGATAATGTGATAAGCAGAATGGTTCTAGGCAGTATGCCAATGAACTAATAAAGGTACGCATCAATCTCATTATTGTGATGTAGAGAAAGTGGTTTGGTAAATTATATTTATCATGTCTAAGCCAGAGTTATTTTTCATGATTTGGCCTTGATGTTTGATTCAAATGTGCTAATGTTTTGCAATCTAAATGATGAACAAACTAACAAACTATTCTTGACGTGTAGTGGTTTTGTTGTGAACTATATTGTTCATTCTGTTTGTCAAGAGAATATTACTCAATTATTGTTTGAGTTTCAGATATTACAGGGATGGAGGTTAAAGTGAGAAAGTTTCTCAAGTACCTATCCAGTAAATTCTAAGAGACAATGATTGAATGAACAACGATGATTAGTTGAACCTATTCAGTGTATGGTTTTTACATGATGAAGGGTGATGCTCTATTTCGAGTGCGCTGCAAAACAAATTGTTGTACACTATCCATTATGAAGAAAATGTTCATTAGATTGGATGACGTGGTCAAGAAGATGATTGTTGAAAAAATTAATCTCTGGAAGTTTGTCCATTGTGGGGGTAAGTTGATCCTCATGTTCTCTACATTATTTTTCACAAGTGTCTATGTATGTTGTCAGGAACTATAGATGTAGTGACAAAGTTAGACAGATCTTGTGGAGATGATACTCATGTTAGAGTACGTGAAAGCAAAGAAAAATCAAGCAGGTCCTTATACTAGGATGTAGCACAGGTAAGTGCTTGATTGTCTAAGAGAATATATTTAAGATCCTGTGGGGTATTTTAAATTATTCTAGTGACGAAGTTTAAAAATTGAGTCTACGTCTTGAAGTGATCTGGCTTGATAACCCTCTAATCTATATGGTTATGAGATGCTTTGGTAGACTTGTTGCTTGATGTTTTCAGGTTGAGCTTTAAGTGCTCTTAATATGTCCTTAACCCAGATTGGGTGGTCAACTGAGACAACTTACATGGACACACCGAAGTGTTTTAATTTGTTGAACTTTTGTTCTGAATGGGTCTAGAGCCTTGTTTTGGTTGACTCATTGTTGGATTTAAACCATTTATGTTTATTGAATCTATAACCTTTTTCAGTGGTTTGTTGATCAGGTGGATTCAGTAAGGTTGAGCGTGGCTCTTAATGTTATTTGTCCAGTTATTCTTTGAGAAGGGATTGATAATGGTTCTTAAGTGGATTTAAGACCGTAAGCCCAGTGGCTCTTAGAGTAGGATTGATAATGACACCGAAGGTGGAAGGTTGAGCATTGCTTGCTCTTAATACTACTAGACCAGTTGCTTGAGAGTAGGGAATGATAGTGATCCTTAAATGAATTAGAATCACTAGCCCAGTTACTACTCGAGTATGGAACGATAGTGGTACCGAATGACTGAGGTTGGGAGTATCCCTTAATGCATCTAGCCTAAGAGATCATTGAGCAGTGGATTGATAGATGCACCGTCGAGTTGATAGGGTTGAACGTTTCGTTCTTAATGTTCTTATTCTATTGTACAGAAAAATCTTGGGTTTGCAAGGTGCTTGAATGTGTTTTAAGCCTACAAGGAAAGACCCTAGATGTGCTGGGAATGTGTATTTTATACACAGACGGAACACCTACATGAGTACGAGGGGTGGCATCCTTCAAGGGAAAATTGTGGTGTAGTTTTCCTGAATTACTCATGAGAGCCAAAGGTGTAAGCCAAGATTGGCGGAGTTGAATAAGCTCTAAAGTCAAGGTATGTGTATTCAAGGTCCCTTCCTCGTTCCTAGGAGTTCAAATCTTAGGATACTCACTAGGGAAGTGTTGAAAACCTTGTGCACTAATGTGTTAGTTCAAACCTTTGGATACTAGCATTTAAGTACTAAGACTTTCATTTACTGTTCAGATTTCATGTTGAAGATCCGCTTGCATTAGTGGGGGATTGTTGGAAATAGGTAATGCAAACGGATGCTCGCGCCCGATCGGGTGGCCCTCGCCCGATCGGGCGGAGGTGACCAAGGAAAATAGGAGAACTCTCGCGCCCGATCGGGCGGCCCTCGCCCGACCGGGCGGCGGACTCAAGTTTTTGACGAGCCCGATCGGGCGGCTTCGCCCGATGGCTCGCCCGGGATGGGGTTTCTAGATCGCCCGACCGGGCGATGTTTGCCCGACCGGGCGGTGTTCGCCCGATCGGGCGCGACACCAGGTCTGGAGAAACTTAATCTCGCGCCCGATTGGGCGGCAGCTCGCCCGATCGGGCTTGCTTTTTTTCCTAGGTCGGTTTTCTTTGCGTGTTTCCTTTTCCGGGACTCATATAAATACGAGTCTTGCCTTTTCATGATTTTCATTTTTCACTTTCTAGCTGAAAACACAAACCTACCTTTGAGATCTGAACAGTTCTTGAGCAATTCCACTCTTCGGGTTCGGGTGCACGAATTACTGGGAGAGTTGCGTTAAACTTTCGGGGCGTGCGTCATCAGGAAACCTGTACCGGTGGTGGCGTATTTTGCTTCTAAGGCAGTGGATTATAGTTCTATGGCGCGACTGTGAGTTTGAGATCTTCAATCAAGTATTTTCCCTTTCATCTTCTCTATTTTTTGTTATTGGAATCGACAGGTATTTTTACCAACATCTTCAACCATAAATATGTTACGAGTTCTAGTTCCCTAATTGCACTACATAAATCACACTACATTTTCTCCTAACATTACATTTTATGAAGTAAATTATCACGTTATCTTTTGAATAAAAAGATGAGCAATAGTTATGATAAGCAGGCATTGGTGATGTTTATGGTGGTGGTTCTTGTGCACGTAGCACACGCCGTGGAACAACATCAAACGATCGCAGACTTTTCTTTGGAGATCGAAGCAGAGGTGCAGGAATGCCTTCGTCGCGTCGACGCTGTAGAGGAGAAGCTCAACAAGGACTTATCCGAGAATTCACCGGAAACTGTCAAAATTGCTGCCGCTACGAGGTTTATAGGGTTGGAAGAAGAACGCAAGGCATGCTTTCCTATTAGTAAGTTGATTTTTAATTAATTTTAACATTATAAAATAATTTTAAAATTATTAAATCACAGCCGTTCAATTTTCAAAATTATGGTTGTCAATTTTCTCTAGTATTTTCGGTTAATTAGTTGATAACTTTGCTTAATTCTTGTTTGTGTAGTATCATTAATTTGCGTGCGTAAGTGTGATGCATGCCTATATATGCTTGCTTATATGTAGTATATGCCATTTTTTTATTTAACATGTAATCAAATAAAATTATTATGTGTGACATTTTCTTAAGTTTAATAATGTTGTATTACACCATGGTTTGAGGTTTTTTTTTTTTTTTTTTACGTACGTAATACTACGTATATTGTCAACGATTGCTTTATTAATGACTTTTAATTTCAATTGATATAACGTTGATAGTTTTGATTAAATCTAATCACATCAATAATAATGTTATGCGAAATCATAATAATTCACATTAAAGTAACTCTTGCTAATCACCGTAATCTCATATTACTTAATTAATTGTCTTCTATGTGATTATTAGGTAAAGTGGTCATACGGGCCCACACCATATGACTAGCCACGTATAAAACTTTATATTCTAGCATAAACAAAAATTATACGACGAGTAACACAAATATGGAGTAATAAAATCAAGGAAAATACGAAGTATTCTATCTTGTATATTCACAACTCCGTTTTTTTGTTTTGTTGAAAACAATTCCTCTATGAAACAAATCAAGCTGCTTTGGAGATGGCAGGAAGAATGTTATGTTGCAATAACCAGTCCGCCATGATTTTGTAAGCACGTTCAGTCATATGAATTCCATCCCAACTTACACTCTTGTCAGGATTTGGACACACCGGAACCCCTTTAAATCCACAAATTTTTGTTATACCGAAATTGGCACTATTATCACCCATTCCACAACACGTCCTTAGTGTTTCGTCGAATCCTGCATATATTAACGATTACTTAATCGTTGTAACCCTTTGACTTTTTTCGAATTAACTAATTAAGTAACATGTTATTTGCTTAACGTATCAAAAGTGAAAATATTAATAATTAATTTAAAATTTTGCATTGACATGCGCAAAAGTGAAAAGGTGTATGTTACTGTGAAAAGTTAAACTAACCAAGAGCAGTGGCGTTTTGAAGGAGTCCTTTCATGGCATTAAAGTAGTCAGCATAGACGATTTTAACCAACGGGTGTTCCGCTTGAAGTTCCTTAAGAGTTTTTTGTAGGAAATTGTTTTGGAACGTGCTTAACTCAATCAATTGTTCAACACAGTGTAGTTCATCATACAATGTTGCGTTGTTAGGTGGAAACATATAGAGATAAATTGGCATACAACCGAATAAAAAATTTCCAGGAACGACAACACGAGTTGCACCAAAGTTAATTACTTCCTACATGAGCGATATACAATAGTTTAATTAGAATATACTTCATCCGATATTTTGTTAAGAAGTTCATGTAAAGGAAATCGTTGCAATATTAAAAAAACGGAATAAGTATTGTTAAACGACCAACACAATCAAAAGCTTAAGCTGTTGTTGAAGTCGGTGATAGGTTTATATATCCTATCATGCCCCTTTAAATGAGAGCCTATTATTGGGCTTGAAGTGTGGATATAGCATGAGCCCTACCATACTCACCGTTTAATATTTCAATTTAAAAGGAGGGGTGGATGAGATTTAAACCCGTGACATTTGTGTCTCTTAATTCCAGACCAACTTAACCATCAGATTAACAACTTAAGCTAATGGTTGAAGCCCAGATCAAGTATGATATTAGCATAAACAACAAATACTAGTACAACTAACTTACTTCAATGGCGGCTTTAACAGCCCCAATAACCTCGGGTACCATACCATATATGCCTTGAATATTTTTCCTTTCCATTACAGCATAGTTGATGTCATTGCCACCGGATTCAATAATAAAAAGCGCGTTGGCAAGCTTATTTTTGCAATCTACATACATACAAATACAATTAATCGTTATTAATTTTAAATTTCATCTGTATATGTCATATGATTTTTTTATTAATGAATTGATTTAGTTATAAAAAAAAAAAGTGTATTACCATTTAGATCGGGACAAATGGAAGTAAGATAAGACTGGAACCAGTTAAGCTGTACTGATAAAGAACTCCAGGTGAGAGGTGAAATAATTCCTTTAAGTGCTAAGGTACCAGTGGTAAGAGCCGTTGACCCAGCAACCGCGAAGTTGACTCCATGACTAAAGTTACCAGCCTTGTTTAGGTATGCATCAAGGTATGGGAACTTGAAGTATTCGGCTGCATCATTGCAAAAGAATAAACATATTTGTATTAGAAACTTTGTTATAAGACTTCGCTACTTCATAAATACTTCCTATGTTCTATTAATTATTTGGAAGATACGTATGTATTATAAACTCACTCTATATATGTACAGATGTACTACATATACAACATCAAATGCATAGTAAGCATGAAGATGGTGCAAAAAAATATTAAGAAACTTTCCTCAAAAAACTTATTAAGAAACAAAGTAAATTATTTTTGGGCTTCAAAGTCTATCGTTACAAAAGGTGATGAAGTGTGCATTGTTTAAAATTTTAAAGTTTAAATGAGGACCTTAATGATTATATATGTACACTTAGGTTGTTTTTAGCCATTTATTTAAAGTTAGAAATGTTTATTTTGAGGTAAATTTAGGTTATTCTTTTTTAACTAATTACAAGTTATCTAATAGATAAGTATTACAATCATATAGTTAATCTTGGATAATATCGATTACACGGAAGTATTATTAAAATATGATGATGTGATGCATGAGAATTTGCCTAAGAAAGCTTAGGAAACAAAAGCACATACATACCAAAGAAATCAATCATAAGACGACCATTGGAGCAACGTCCAGTTGCTTCATGGAAGAAGTCTTGTCCATATGGAAGTGAGGCAAAGGGTGAATGTTCACCAATGAAATTATCGCGTATTAAATTACCAGTATCTGAGATCGAGTCTCCAAATTGATAGATAGCATCGATTGGAGGTTGAACTTGACCTTGGATAACATGGAGCGATAAGGCAATAGCTAAAAGAAATACAAGATTAACATAAGTTTTTGCATTATTAGCCATTGCTATAGATATAAGTAATTAGTGGAAATAAACTAATTAATCTAAGAGTTTTCAAATGGTGATTTCAATTATTCTTTCCCACTTAACAAAAAAAATTAGAATGGGGTTTTTAATTTAATGGGATAACAATACTATTCTTAGTTATAACCAATTTATTAGTACAGGTAATCAAATATTCTAAAATCATAATTAGGATTAGTCGTGTATTACAACATCATCCAACAAGAAGTTGATAAATCATAAAGAACGAAAACAGACGTAACAAAGACAACAATACCCACAAAACAGAACAAGAAATCTTATTGTGTTAACATTTTTACAAATTATGCAAGTTTGAAAGTGTAACTGAACTATATTCCTATTGTATCATTCAAAAGTAGTAGAGCTTATAAAAATGAATAAAAAAATTAAAAAAAAAAAAAAAAAAAAAAAAAAAAATTGGCCCAAAAAAGTATCAAGTTCGGGCAAGAACTCTGGGTTTGATTTTGGAGCCAGTATTGGGCCTGCTTGATAATTATAATGTAGGCATTAGAGGAAAAAAAAAAAAAAAAAACTCCCTTTTTTTTTTAGAGGATATATTCGGTAGCCATGTAGCAAGATGGGAGTTTGCCTCAAAATTGAAAATTTATCTTGATTTAGGAGACCATTTGCAATACAAATAAGCAACTATCGTTGCCAACTAGAAAGAAAACAACCAATGCAAAGGAAAACAAAGAAAGAAAAAGCTAAAGGCTAAAAGCTAAACAGCTAAACAAGGTCATAATGGTTGGAGGATAATCACACCACTTAAATCCTCCAAGGCCCCAATAATATGGCCTAAAGATCTACCGAGGTTGACTCAAAACACCCTATATTAGCAAGTCCATCCACTACTTGATTAGCTTGAAAATAATACGGAGTAAAGATCTTTTTCTTTTCACACCGTGCGTCCGTGCCATCATAAAATAAAATATTAAGTAGAATTAAATTTGAATTATCCCTAATTTATCTTATTTGAATAGCAAAATATGATCTAAACCAACAAATACTTGTACGACATTGTGTTTTTTACTTTTCTTCCATCCATTAAACAAGAACAAAAAATTCCAAATTTTGCTTTAGTTGGTTACAATAATTCCAAATGAGAACATTTTAATCCAAACTCCACAAGATTATCACCATGATTGTAAATCAATTCCAAATAATTTCACCAATCATATTTTTTTTTAAAAAAACACACAAAAATATCCAATCAAACCATAAATTACATCAGCAAACTAAACATTACTCGTGTTACACTAAGATACAAAAGAAAAGAAAAAAAAAAAAAAAAAAACTCAAATCATCATCATATTAACCTAACAATTACTTAATCGAACACCAGTACACCACAATTCCAATTGGATTAACATCTTTAATCCAAACCCCGAAAGTTCACAACATTAAGTAAGATTATCACCATAATCATAAACCAATCAATTCCATAAATAAAATCATCAAAATAACAAAAAAAAAAAAAAAAAAATCCCAATTTATCCAATCCAATCATACTAAAAACGCAAAAAATTAAACATTACTCAAGTTACATTACATTAGAATTCCAATAAACCAACTGAAACCCATCTTAATAACCTAAGAATTACTTATTAAACAATAAACACCACAAATTAGTTAGAAAATTTCACTAATTAGAAATATAATTAGTGTTGGTGGTGATGTTGAATAGCCAACAATTTCCTAGCAATTTCAAAAGACAAGAAAGCATCAATACAAGCATATTGAATCTGAGGATAACTCAACCATTCAGTATCCCACCTACTCAGAGTCACCCTCTTTGGTTTCTGAACATCAACCTCCATTAAAATCCTTGCTAGTTCTTTCAACCCCATTCCTTTTCTGACACCTGGCACCCTCTCCACCGCTAGATGCCCCAGATCGACGGTGTTCTTCACTACTAGATCGTAGTCTATCAGAAGCTGTTCAACATCGGATCGAATCCCGACCCCAGCAAAGAGATTATGCTCGTTTGCGAGGAAATCGTAGAGGGTTTTTGGGATTGGTTTTGGGCAGTGGAGAATTTGGAAGATCAGACACGTGTAGGTGTTTGATTGGTTGCCGGCTCCGCCGTGTGCGGTGGTTGTTGTGGTGGTGGTGGTGCAGAGTTGGATGGTGGAGACGGGGTTGTCGTAGCCGCGGCCGAAGTTGGGGCGCCATTCGATGTCGAGACCGACGATGAGAGGTGCGGCGGCGGAGGTGGCGGTGGGGAGGGCGGCGATCCAGGAGGTCACCACGGAAGGGTCGGAGGTGACGGTGGTTTTGATGAGGTGGTTGCCGTAGAAATTGACGTCGTAGCGGTCGTTGTTTGGGTTCGGGTTCGCATCAGCAATGGTGATTGTTGCTGGTGGTGCTGCTGTTGCTGCCGCCATGGTTAGGTTGTTGGGGGGGGGGTTTGGAGGAGAGAGAAAGTGAGGGAACGACTGAATGAAGGGAGTTTTATATAGTTGGGGGTGCCGCGAATCGCGGGGTTTTGGTGGGGGACGACTAATAAGCTTAAATATAAGCGAGGTTGAACGGGTACTGACACGAGTACGAGTAAAATATAAGAGGGGATGGGAAGTTGGGAATGAAGGTTATATGGGCAATGTGGCTAATATATACTCAACGGGTGAAGGGGTCATTTGTGAGAGTGAAAGTGAACGCGGAATAAGACGATGGGCCAAGAGTGAAAGTGAAAAAGTAAGGGCTTGAAATTGATGTTGGTATTACCGCGTAGCTTTACTCTTCCTTTGCATAATTTTGAGTTTTAACTTTTAAGCAAGGAATCAAATTGAAGATAGAAGCAAATCGGGAATAAAGCTCCGGCAAGGTGGCCCTACGATGAAATTCTAGTCGGTGTTGCGTGTTCTACTGTTCAATTAAGCAATTATAATAAGTGTATCGGGATAATGTGACAAATAAGAGATTGAAGAATATCGTTTAGTGAAAAGGGGAACAATATTGTAAAAATGATTTCACACCATCCGATATAGTAATATCATCATAATTTCCTTCTACAATTAGGCAATTAGCACGACTCTTGCACTCACGTACAATCAACAAATGGAGATCATGATTCTTGTCTAAAACTATTTTGAGAGAAAGACGAATGTGTTTGTATGTTGTTTTATGTATAGAGGACTAAGAAGATAAATAAGCTAGCACTAAGGATCATAAACAACGGAAAAGTATTAAGGGTAGAAATCAACTCAAATATGGAAGTAAAACATGGGATAATCTAAGGCAACTATATATTATAACGTCTTAATGATCCCGCAAATAATCATATGCCAAATATTTTGCAATTATTGAGATACGTATAGAAATAATAAATAGACTGTTTCTAAAAAGGAGCACAACTGGTTGCTATTTCTTTTATTTTTAACAAAGAAACAGAGTAATATCTAACTAAGAGGGTCATCAAAAACTCGTTAAAACTCTATTAGATATTACTATACATGTTAGTCACTAAGCTATTACCATACTACTTGTCATTCTATTAAAATTAAGTACTAGTATTACTAATAAGGGTTTTTAACTTTCTTTTATAGAAATATATAAATAATACATTAACTCGGAGCATCACATAAACCTAAAAACTAACTAATGTTTATATCTATGTATAAAAAGCGAGAAATTCTACAATATCTATAATGGAGGAAATGGACATTTAGACAAGTACTTAGTTGACATTCCACAATACTTTAAATACGCGATATTATATTGCTCATGATTTTGCCAACTTGATTTTAAGAAGAAATTGATGAGAAGGTGAGTCGAGAGACAGAACGAACATTATAAGAATAATAAGCACCATTAAACGAACATTATAAGAGTAATAAGCACCATTAACCCGTGCTACAGAATCCACATTAAAAAATTACTACGTAGATGATGATGCCATATAATGGTTTCGATACATGGTAATGATGTACACTGGTGACTCGTACAAGAATATGGAATGAAGTACTACCATTACTTTAAAGAATCGAATATAAGCCGCCTCAATGGACATAAGCTGTGTAGAATTTTGATTGTAAAATCTAAGAACTCCTTCACTTCAACTTGTTTTTGTCGAATAATTTAATTTAGTTTATCAAATTATATTTGTTGAACTTAAATTATTATTGCTGAACACGAATTATTTTTACCGAATTGACTTTTTTTTAACTGATTCTCTATTATATTTCTTCTTTAGAGTTACTAATCTTTGCTATATTAAAATTATTTTACTGAACTAAAATTAATTTTACTTAACTGAATTTATTTTTGCTGGCCTGATATTATTTTTTACTGACCTGAAATTATTTATACTGTTTTTTTTTTTTTTTTTTTTTTTTTTTGTTAAGGTGAACGAATAGGGCCTAAGTTTATATTATTGGGCCCTTGTAACAATTGTATGTTAGTTACTTGTATAAAAAAATTTAACACTTATTGGTATTATCATTAAATGTTTAAGGAAAATTTGCAAATTGCACCCATTTAAAGTTCGTATTTTGCAAATTGCAGCCATTTAAATATTTTTTTTGCAAATTGTAGCCCAAAAGTTCATATAAATTGTAAATTGCAGCCCGATTCAACTTTTTCATCGGTTTACAAGTTGAAAAATGACCCCTAAAACCTTTACCGAAGATTTTTCAACATGTAAACCGATGAAAAAATTGAATCGGGCTGCAATTTACAATTTATACGAACTTATAGGCTGCAATTTGCAAAAAAAAAAAAATTTAAATGGCTGCAATTTGCAAATTTTCCTATGTTTAATTATAATTTATGAAACATACGAGTTATAAACTAAAAATTCGAAATTGAGCAAGTTATGAATTAGATCGTATTGTATGAGATGAGATACCAGGTAACCAGGTTAGAATATTAGATTCACAATTTCACACTCTTTCTATCTACTCAGTCTTGTACACAGTGCAACGATCTTTGCTCTCAGGTGAAATCAAATATACAAGTAGCTAAAATTGATTTGCTTCTCAAAGTAAAGCTAATATTCAATGAACTTGACTCAAATACCCAATTGAGTATATGAAGAGAAAATCCCTAATTATTGATTTATTTACAACCAGATATGACCCTGGAAAATATAAGTTTATCTTCATGATAAACTAAAAAGTATTTATCTAATAACATTTCTGTAAATTAATCAACAACTTTTATTAAATGGAGGTCCCATAACTATTGATTCCACTAAATATTTGTTGATTTATTTACAAAAATGTCATTAAATAAATGATTTTTGGCTTTTTGCTTATCTTAAAGACTATTTGGGCTCCCTCAATATAATTATACTTTGTATAATTATATTTCACCAAAAATATGACCCATAATAGAATGGATTTGGAGTTGTGACCTTAATTTGACAGATTTGGATAGCTGGCCTGAACCATAGCTCGAATGACCCATTTGGACATGACCAATTGATAGGAGCTAAGGCCCAATGGCTTACCTAGCCTATCAATAATCATCATGTGAATTTGGCCTAAAATCAACAATTGAATAAGGAGTTAAGGACCCACCTTGAGGAACTTCCAAAAGAAATCATAAAAGCTACTTTGTTTTCCTAGTATACTAATCAATTAATTATCCAAGTTACTTAAAGAACTTGATCTCATTTTAACATAATCCAAACTACTTTTATAGGGTCATAAATTAATCAATTAAGCACTTTAAACTGTAGTATTAACATTATTAGTACTTCGTGGCTAAATCCAAATTGACACTCCCATCAAGGAGATAAAATAAAAGGACCAAAGCTAAGGGATCAATGAGAAAATCAAGTAATGAGAGATTATTTTGCTAACATTTTGTAATTTTTTATTTTAATTTACAGTATTATGCAACAACTTATACGAGTTCATCTCTCTCTATCTATGACACTCTCTATTTTCATCAATTTCAATCCCTTCTTAAATTTAATAAACCAATATATGAAGTAGATTATTTTATTATTTTTAATATCATCTTAATTATTTCTCTATAATTATGCAGACACGTCCAAAACAAGTTTAATGACTTGTAACTCAATCAACACTATCAAAGCAAGAATAATGAGAATGACATCCAAATAAACCAATTAAGCAATGTGTTCAATAACCCCTAAAAAGTATAAACACATGTGTTTACACAATCTATAATTAATTAATTAATCACATATATATAAAAATAACATGACACTTCTTAAAAGTAGAATTATTGGCACATAAATAGTACTACTTGACTACTTGTACAAGTATAATGGTCTAGCTAAAAATGAGTTGCCTAATCTCTTTCCACCATTCATTTTACTCACTCTCACTCTTAATTAATTTCATCAACTTCTTCTTGTCAAAAAATTTAATAAATTTCATCAACAAAACACAATAATTATTACTAAATATTTTTTTTTTTTATAAATGGCAGAGCATAAAAACCCATCAAATTCCGGCAAATCCACATCAATTCCGGCAACCGTAGACGGCGGATCATCCGAAGAAACCACCGTGGAAATCCGCCAATCAAAACGAAGAAAAAACTGCCCAACTTTCTCTCTCCTCCAATTAAACAAAAACCAATCAAATTCAAGCTTCAACTTCAGTTTTCCCATTGATGAACTTAGTACTACAACTCCAGAAGTAACTCCCAAATTCGGATCCTTTAATTCGGGTAAAGAATCGGGTCATGGGTCGTCGGAAAATGGTCATTCTTGTCAAGTTCCGGGGAAGAACAAGGAGGGAATTACAGAGGTTGAAGAAACTGACAAGATTTGATGTTTACATTTTTTTAAGAAAAAAATATTGTTATTATTTAGAATGATTTTTTTTTTTTGTATTTTAATATTTATAGAATATTAGTCATGTCACCTAATCTTGGTTAGGAAATCAAGGTCTTTTGTAATGGAATAAGCATAAGCCACAAAGTAATACACTTGAAATTTTTTTGGATTTTATTTGCTATCTTCTTTAATTTAAGACGTGTTTATTTTAGTTCAAAAAAAAAAAGTGTTTTATTTAGCAATTGGAGCTAAGTTTGTTTAATTAGATGAGATAATGAGAATCGATATTAGCTTTAGGGTTTTATTATTGTGATACTTTAAGTAACTAAGCACTTAGCTTGTATATGTGTGCGAGCATATGACACAAACTAGCTTAATTGGTTAAAGTTTTGACGTATATGACATGACATCGAATCTCAATTACATTACTGTATTACTCTTGATAAGACTTTCTTTACATCGAAAAAATATACTCGTAAAATAATAAATATACTCTCTAAGCTTAAATTATCAACTAAACACTTTATTCATTAGGTTGAATGGTTGATTGTTACAAATTAATAGGATAAGAGAGTTTTTAATTCCATTGAGATTATGTTTATCCTATATATTATTAATATAAGATATAAATTTTATTTTTTATTTTTTATTTTGTTGGAGAGGAAATAATGTGATTTCATATTATATAAAAATCAATAATGTTCACTTGTTTTCAATTTATTATGAAAATTTATATACTCCATAGGAATTAGGGGCGTTATAATTATTTAATTAAATCTTTACTGCTCCCAACCATCTAGATGAGAGTTGAATAATTGATTGTAGTATAATAAATGTAAATCAAATAGCCTTTTTTAAAAAAAATATAAAAGTAGTGTAATTTTTTTAATTCATATTAAGAGAATTCCATATTTTAAAAAATATGTTTGTAGCTATAAGTAATAAATACAAACTCCTCGAAATAAATAAGTACGAGTAAATAAGTAAATAATTATTTAAAAAAAAAACTAAGGTGGTGTTTTTTTTTTTTTTTTGAAAGAACTAAGGTGTTGTTTGGTTCACTTGGAAATTAGAACTTCCCATAAATTGTAAATTTATGAGAATTAAATTCCTACAATCAAATTCATGGAAATTTTGTAAAATTGTTTGGTTAACAATGAGGGAAGTAACTTCCATGGGAAT